CCTCTTTTGATCAATTCCTTCAATTTTGGCTCAATATATAAACACAATTTATCCGACATTATGATCATTGAGAAGACGGTTTATACCGTTTCTCAGAGAGTTCGTATTGCATTTTTTCCATTCTTCTGTATGGTCCTCTATTGATTAAAATAAGATTCATTTATTAAATTTTTTTTAATTTACTACCACCGGAAGCGTAGAGTAGACGGTACCCATTAAATGAGCCTTATAACGCTTGGTTGAAGACATTCTTTTGTTGGTAAAGTGTGTGGTTTAGTTGCAGATGCGTCGAACCCTGTCGACCAATTGATTTAAGAATCCAGCTTTCAATTCTGTCTTCACTTTCCTGATAAGTTTCTACTTTAACAACATACCCGGAGACATTATTAATGATGACACGTAAAGGATAACTGGTTATTAATGTAGGGTCTTCAACTTTGAAACAAACTTCGGCTTCGGTCACACGCAACCTCCATAATATTTTGCGTGCCGATTAATAAATCTTTTAATAGTTTCCTCAACTTGTTTTGGTTCTAACACAAATGTTGGAATGAAATTTATAAATAAATAATTGCAGTCAGAATTCTTATGTTCTGAACTAACGATCTCTAGAGAATCCAAAATCTCATTCAATAATCTGTCGGACTCCGAGATTATATAATCCGCCTTACGCACGCTATTTCGCAACCGACCAGGATCGAATGAAGAATCTACAATCCGAAGTATTTTTTTTTTTTACCAACGGCATAATAAACGTGAATCTTTCTATTGTCGGTATAGCAAGGAGTAATATCAAAATTGGATAACCTAGTAAGCTCAAGTTGATAGGCCACGATATGACGAATTGTTTGATCCTCAGTATAATCTGTTTCACGGAACGTGAAATACCACGGATATTGACCTTTACGAAATAGGACAATAGTAATTCTTCGTATTCCATGTTCACGTAATTCATAAGAATGTCGTTGTATAAGGGGTTTGAGTTATTTTTTCAAAGCTTCATCATCCGCTATAGCATCATCTTCCAGCCTTAAAGCGATGTTCAAAACATTATTTATATTGGCATATTTCTTTCTATTTCTTCATTAAAAAATGCAGGAAATCATGGCGCCAACACGAAGTGGTTCATTCTTGGTTTTCGTAATCAAATAACTTAAATTTGATATTGAAACTGAACGTCTCATACTAAAAACGAGGGCCTTTCAATCGAATCAGTTGGACTATCAGTCGTAGCACTATTGGTCTTCAAAGTTTATAAGTTGATAGGATAAGCGGGCGTAAACTTTTAATGCGGCAAGCCCTACCCAACTATCTTGATGATAAATGAAATTCGAACATCGAAAATAGCAAATCGCGTATCAATTAATTCTTTGAAAATCATAACTTTGGGTTCGGTAATCATAACTATCATCTCCAAACTGCTGCCTTCAATATTTGTTTCATAAGAAGGTAAATGACAATGAATCAACAATGCGCGCGCATTCAATGCAACTTTGGTTGTGAAACGTCCTCCAAGTTTGACCTATGTTTCAAAATCGGTGAATAGAATTTGTCAAGGGATTGTCAAACATTGTGCGGGCCTAACCTGATCTAAATTATGTAAT